ATAAGTATGTATGTTTCTTTTGCCCTTTGTATTATATATTTAAATTCAATTATTTGGAGATCATAGTGTAACATGAGTTCATAGACAAACTATTGTCAATGGGACAATGTTGGTATTAAAGAATGACCTTCAAAAAGCTATGCATACCCTTTGACCCAGCAATACCACTATTAGGTCTAAACATCAAAGAGATCAAAGAAAAGGGAAAATGATGCATGCAAAAATATTTACAGTCACTCTTTTTGTGGTCACAAAGAATTGGAAACAGCGAGGATGCCCATTAATTGGGTAATGTATATTAATATAATGGAATACTACTGCGCTGTAAGAAATGATGAAGGGGATGATTTCAGGAAAACCTGGAAGCATTTATATGAACTGATGCAGAATGAAGTGAGCAAAACTAGGAGAACAATTTACATAGTAACAGCAATATTGTAAATATAATCAACTGTGAAAGACTTAGTAACTCTAATCAATACACTGATCCATGAGAATTCCAAAGGACTTATGATGAAAAATGCTGTCCACCTCCAGATGGAAAGGTGATGGACTTAGAATGCAGATTGAGCTGTAATTTTTTTCTCTTTTAGAACATGACTAGTGTGGAAGTATGTTTTGCATGAATTCATGTATATATGTATATATATATGTGTATATATGTATATATGATATTGGTGTTCTTGCCTTCTCAATGAGTTGGGGAGGGAGAAAATTTGGAACTGAAAATAAAAATAAAATTTAATAAAAAATGAAAAAGAGAATGGGCTTTATGATCCACCCTGATTTCCTCTTCCTCAGTTCTGGACCTAGATTATTGCTCTTCTGCAGATCCTGTTGAAGATACGCATAAGTCAATGGGCTAACTCAGCAGACTTCCTTTCTAGTTGCATGATACAGTCTGCTTTTGACACATTTTGGTTTTCTTCTATGCATGGGTAAGGCAATCTCTTTTGTCTCATTGTGTTTTTCATGAAGAAGGTTCTCAGGAACAAGAACCCTTTCAATTAATTCTATTAAGCATATACATTACATCCTGGGGGACAGAAGATTAACTTTCCTAAATTCTATTTGATTCCAAATTCCACTGATGCCTGGAAGGCCCCACATCAGAGCTGGTGTCAGATGGGACCACCTCCTCCTTCCCTTTTCCAGAGACTAATCTCACTCCCAACCTGGCAATGCCCCCTTCCCTATTCCTCTTCTGGCTAGACATTGACTTCCCATTCACACTCCTGCTGGAAGGAACCCAGAATCCTCTCTCTACTTAGGCCTGCTGTCCCCTTCATAATGGTGGCAGAGTGCTCTTCTAGGGCAGACAGTCCTGATGCATCCTAAGGACTCTAAGGCCCTTGCCATCTTCCCTGCAACTATACCCTTAGGACCTCTGGTCCCTCTCTCAAATATCTAACTTCTCCCTGAAGCTGAGCTCTTCTACATGTACTGTTTTCCACAATTAGAGGGTGAGCTCCTTGAGAACAGACTATCTTTTTACATCCTTAGAACCTAGCATAGTGCTTAGCACTTAGCAAAAATAAATGCCTTTTCATTCATTTGATTCATTCATTTAATTTCATTAATACAAATTCAAATTAGAATTCCAGTATATTTAGGTACAGAGAGCAGTCACCATGTCCTTCTCAGTTCTATCTATGCATTTTTCTTGCATCTGTGCCATCTTAGCAGTGGCTTTCATTATTATCTTTTGTCTGGATTATTTCAATATCCTCTCTTCTGACCATCAGTGGCTCCACTCCAGCCCCCACACACTACTGCCAGATTAATCTTCCTAATGCAAAACTCTGATCATCTTACTCCTTTGATTTCAAAACAAAACAAGCAAACAAAACCTTCAGTTGTCCTCATTGCTTCCTAAATAAAGTCTAAATATTTTATCCTGGGAGTCATGGCTCAGTTTTTTTTTGGGGGGGGCGGCGAGGCAATGGAGTTAAGTGACTTGCCCAGGGTCATACAAGTAGTTAAATATCAAGTGTCTGAGCCCGTATTTGAACTTAAGTCCTCCTGCCTCCATGGCTGGTGCTCTATCCACTATACCACTTAGCTGCCCCCATGGTTCCCTTACAACATAGCTCTAATCTGCCTACCCAGGATTATCTCACACTACTTGCTGCCATGCAGTCAGTTCTTTGGTCAAGTTAAATTACTTATCATCCCTTGAAAAAATTCTATGCTTTGTCTCTATGCATTAGTCTCTGCCTCTGCTGAGAATGACTGCTGTTCCAGTCATTCTCTTATGTTTAGGATGACTTTCCTCTCCCTGTTTGCCCATGGAAACTCTGTCAACCTTTAACCTTTTCAAATATTATATCTTTCATGAAGCCTTCCCTAATTTCACCAGCAAAAGAGAGCTCTACTTTATATAGTGTGTTTGCTTTTTCTTGGGTAGCCAACACATTGTAATTTGTTTATAGTTATTTGTTACATGTCTTATCTTCTCAACTAGATTAAAAGTGTAATAGGCATAAACAAGCGAGTATGTCCCCCCACTCCATTTGTGGGACCCTGAACCACTTCTGCTGGGTCTATGTGTTTGGGCTTGGTGTTGAAGGGCTTGACACTGTGGGGTGATGCAGCAAACCTTGGGTCTCTTGGTCCCCCTCTGGTTGTAACAGGGTATTTGCTATTTTAAAACAGGGGTTCTTAACCTTTTTTGGTGTCATGCCTGGTGAAACCTATGGACTTCTTCTGAGAATAATGTCTGCTGCCAATGTCTATAATTGAAGGAAGGGCTAAATTTCAGTTACAAGTTAGTGAAAATAAAGATGCAATTTTTTTTTCATACAAATTCATGGAGCCCAGGGAGTCTGTGGATGCCATATTAAAAACTATTTGTTTTAAAAGGAGAGTGGAAGATTATTATCTCACATCTCCTTCCCCCTCTCCTTTTCTTACTTCTTGTTTCCCTCTCCTTCCTCTTTCCCCTCTCTTTCCTTCCCATCTTCCTCCCCATCTCCTTTTTTCTGTCCCTCTGCCCTCCTTTCTCTCCCTCCTTCTCTTTTCTTCTCCTCTCTCTCCCCTCTCTGTTCCACTTCTTCACCCATTCTCTTCCCCCTCTCCTCTACTTTTTCTACAAGTGTGAGAAATTCTCTCTCTCTCTCTCTCTCTCTCTCTCTCTCTCTCTCTCTCTCTCTCTCTCTCTCTCTCTCTCTCTCTCTCTTTCTCCCTCTGTGTCTCTGTCTCTCCACCTTGTCTTCTTTGGGGGTGGTGGTACTCTCCTCAATCTTTGCAGAAATGGTGACTGCTCCCACATGGCAGCTAGAGCAGGGGCTCAATTAGATGAGACTTACCAGAGGCACAGGCTTTGCCTCTTTGGCATACTCTGGATGCCTTTTTGCATGTTCTTTCCTGAAATAGGAGTGACCCCACAGTGTTGAGATGGATGTATCTAGCCTAGAGTTTAGTGCCTAATTCAGGATTTCTCTCTTCCCAACAAATCCTGCCTTCTGGGAGATATCAACATAATTATATATATTTTGCTGATATAATTGCTGATGCCCTTTCAAATGATCTAATTTCTTAATTTCTCAATCTGCTCTGACCCTCTATTTTTACCACCTTTAATTGCCAAATCTAATGGCCTCTTCTCAGTCCTCATCCTCCTTTACCTCTCTGCAGCATTTAACACTGTTGGCTACTCTTTCATCTGGGATATTTATTCTCTTATCTCTGGGCTTTCATAATACTGTTCTCTCTTGGTTGTCCTACCTGTCTGACCATTCTGTCTTAGCTTCCTTTGCTGTATCTTCATTCATGCCATTTCACACTGTGGGCACTCTTCTATTTTTTCGTTTGGTTCTCTCAATCAGTTCCCATCTATTCAGTTATCATCTCTGTGATGACTGCCAGATCGACATATCCAGCACTAGTCTCTCTCCTGAGCTCCAGGCCCTCATTACCAAGTGCTTATTGGACATCTTAAATGCCACTCTTTCAAAATAGACCTCCTTATCAAAACTCATCCTTCTTACAAGGGCATCAGCATCCTTCCAGTCACTCAGGTTTGAAACCTTGATGTTACCCTCAACTCATCACTTTCCTCAATGTATATATTTAATCATTTGTCAAATATTGTCACTTCTACCTTCAAAACATCTCTCCCTTTCTCTCTAATTTTTAAATTAAATTTTATTTTCAAACAAAGATTAACTCCCTATTGAGAAAGCAAGAAAAACAAAACCCCTGTTATGTAATCAAGCAAAACAAAATTTCTTACTGGCATATCTAACAAGAGTCTCAGTTTGCACATTGAATCCATCACTTTTCTGTAAGGAGGTAGGCAGAATATTTCATCATGAGTCCCTAGGAATTGTAGTTGGTCATATGTTGATCAGAGTTCCCAAGTTTTCTTTTTCACTTTGTTTTAATCAGCTGAGATCTGCCTTTTCACTCCCAACCTATCCTCCCCCATTGATAAGAGAAGAAAAATAAAACTCATTACAAAAATGTATAGTCAATCAAAACAAATTTCCATATTGACCTTGTCCTTAAAAAAATACCTCATTCTACATTCTGAATCCTTCACCTGTCTATCAGGAGGTGGATAGCATATTTAATCATTAGTCTTTTGCAATCCTGTTTGGTAATTTTGCTGATAAGAGTTCAGCACAATAGTATTCTATCACATTTATATACCATAACTTGTTTATCCATTCCCCAATTATGGACACTCGTTCAGATTCTCATTCTTTTTCACCTCAAAAAGAGCTATAAATATTTTTGTACATTCTTAGAATTTGTCTTGCTTAGAACTAATCTCTTCCTTAGACTGCCCTCCCACTCCTCCTTCTCCTTTTTCCCTTCTATTTTCCTATTGAGTGAAATCTATTTCTGTACCTGTGTGTGTATTCTTCCTTCTTTAGACAAGTACAGATGAGAGTGAAGTCCAAGTGTCAGTATCTGCTCTCTACCTCTCCTCCTTGTTTGTACAGATGTCTCCTTCCACACCATCATTATGTGAGATAATTTCCTCCCACTTCCTTTCCCTCCCTCCACCCTAAAAGGTATTCCTCTTCCCTTCTCTTTCCATTCTTTCCTTAAGATCATCAAGGCATAACAGAACTACTTCCAATCTCATCTAATTGGATTGCTTCTATGAACCCTGATGATGTTAGGGATCAAAAGGGACATGAATCATTTCCTCATGTTTGAATGTAAGTAGTTTATCCCCGTTTAGTCCTTTATCACTATTGGTTATTCTTTAGCTTTTTATACTTCTCCTCATTCCTGTGTTTTTATTTTGAAGTCTCTCTGTAGTTCTGGTCTTTTCATCAAGAATGCTGGGAAATCCTTTATTTCATTAAAAATCCACTTTCCTCTTGTAGCATTATTCTCAATTTTTCTGAATGAGTTATTCTTGGCTGGAAGTTCATGTCCTTTACCTTCTGGAATATCATATTCCAACTTCTCTGCTTCTTTATAGTGGTGGTTGCTAAATCATGTGTGTGTTTTCATTTTGGCTTTTATTTTAGGAGGTGATGAATGGATTCTTTCTATTTCTACCTTTGCCCTCTGGTTCTAAGAGATCTGAGTAGTTTTCTTTTAAGATTTCTTGACATTTCAGGTCCCTTTTTAAATTATGGTGTTCAAAGAGTCCAATAATTCTTAAAATTCCACCCTCCCTGATCTGTGCTCCATATCAGCCATCTTTGCTATGAGATACCTTAAATTTCTCTCTCTCTCTCTCTCTCTCTCTCTCTCTCTCTCTCTCTTTCTCCCTTTCTCCCTCCCTCCTTTTGACTTTGTTTTCATTTTTTTGTTTCCTCTTGGAATCATTGGCTTTTATTTGGTTCATTCAAATTTTCAGGGAAGTTGTTGCTTGGGAAAAGTTTTGTACCTATTGTGCCAATCTGTTTATTCCCTTTCTAATGCTTTCTTCCATAGCTCCCATTTATTTTCCAATTTTGCTCTCAAGCACTCTCATTTTATTCATAAAAACATTTTTTAACTCTTTAAAAAAATTCTTGCTTCATCTCTTCTAGGAATTTTAGGTGAGTTTGTGCCCAAACTGTATCTTTCTCTGAGGCAATACTTGTAGATAATTTGGAGTCATTCTTTTCTGTATTTGTGTCTTGTGTATCCTTTCCCCCAGAATAGCTCATGGTGGAGTTCTTTTTTTTTTCCTTCCCCTTTCTTCCCACCTATTTCCTGACTTTGAGCTTGCTTTTAAGGCTGTACTCTGCAGCACATCTGGAGAGTAGGTCTGTGCTGGTCTTATTATTACTTTCTTAGAGTTTTGAGTATTCAGTTGTTCCAAGATCTCAGGGATAGGCTAGAATCTATAAGCTTTCAGTATTCCCAAAACAGTCTAATTCGGATAAAGTCTGATGGCTGCCCCTCTGGTTTGAGCTTTGTGAGTTCCTGACCTGTGTTTAAGTATAAGACCAGAATGCTTCTGGACTCTGCCCCTAGTTAGTTAGCTGGAAAGCTCTGTTGATTCAGAGCACAAACCTGTAGGCTCCCCTTAGGTATGAGATTTTCATCTTGGTTATTCCTTTGCAGGCTGGGCCAATGTTGGAAGTGAGCCCTGCTCTGCACATGAGGCATAAACCATACCACACCACAGCTGTTAGCTTCTGAACTTCTTCCTTTCTTGGTACACCACCCAGGCCCTCCCTACTCTGGAACACCATTGCCAGGTTGAGGTACTTTTCTTACTCTGCCTTGGATCTGTGACCAGAGCCAATGTGCGTGATGAAGCTACTGATTGGCACCTGTCCTTATCTTAGAGCCCCAGCATGGGTCTAGTGGCATCCTGGCATCAGTCTGAGACTGTCTCTTGCCCTGGCATACAACCTCTCCCTCAGTACTGGAGTGCTCCTTGAATTGCTTATTACTGGCCTGACCCATGCATTTCCTTATGCCAAGCTGGGCTGAACAAAGGATTCATTGTGACTTTTTTTTTTCTTCTGAAATATCTTCTTTGGATTTGGTCTGATGCATTTTCTAGAATTGTTAGGAGGAGTTTGTAGAGAGGAGCTTGCTGCATTGTTTCCAATAAGGCCACCATCTTATCCCCGCCTAAATCCCTTTCTAATATAGCTTCTACCCTAGCTATGGGCCTCATTACTACTTACATCATAGATTATTGTAACAGGCTAGTTGGTCTTCCTGTCTCAAGTTTCTTCACTCCAATCCATTCTCTACACAACTGTCAAAATTATTTTCCTAAAGTGATCTGATCACTTCACCCCACTATTCAATAAACTCCAGAGTCTCCATATTACCTCCAGGAGCTAAGAGAACTGCCTGTTTGGCAGTATGGTCCCTTCCTATCTTTTCAGTCTTCTCACACATATTTCTCCTCCACATAGTCTACAGACTATTCATACTGACCTTGTTATACCTTCTACACAATGTTCCACTCTTACCTTTGCTCTGGCTGTCCTCCAGCCTGGAATGCTATCCCTCTTCACCTCTGCCTCTTAGAATCCCTGCTTCCTTCAAGACTCAGCTCAAATTCCACTTTATGTAAGGAGGTTTTTCTTGATTGTAACACTCCTCCCCCCAGCACCCCTGCTGCTGGTGCTTCCACCTATAAGGTTACCTTCCATTCACTCTATAAGTATCTTGTACAAACCAATTTATGTTCATGTCATCTCCTCCATTAGAATGTAAGCTCCTTGAGAGCAAGGATTATTTTCCTTTTTATTTGTATCACCAGTGCTTAAAATAGTATTCGGTATACAGCAAGCACTCAACAGATTATTGCTTATTGATTGATTGGAGACAACTTTGTGAGTCTGAGAGGTTGGGATCTCCTGACTGCACTATGGGAGATACTTCATACAACCACAACAATTTTTCCTGGAAGTAAAGGTGACTACCAATAAGATAAGGAACCCAGTCCCTGGTCTGGCTTGCTAGAAGAAATGAGCTTGAGGGAAATAGTGCAGAGCTAAGTCAAAGGTAAAATGTCAATTCATCAGTCTGACAAAACGCTTCCCTTTTTCCTGTTTTAAGTATCAGCCTCCCAGGAGAGAATAGTTATGTTATTTCTTCACGTTTAAGTCATTGTCAATGCATATTTGTCAGTCTTTTGTGTTTTAAACATTTTGTTTGTGTCCTAGAAATAAATAACTTTCCTACAACTGATTTACATTTTGCATTGAATTCCTTTCTCTTCATCTTTTTTGGGGCAACATGAACCAAATTTAAACTTTCAGTGATTGTACTGGGGCTCCAAAGCCAAACATTAAGATCTAAAGAGGTCAAGATTAAAAAAAAAAAGATGCACTTGCTCCAGTCTTTAGGGGCCAGGATCCCTCAGGCTTGAACCTGTCATATATGTGTGAGTCCAGAGCTAGGGGCCTCTGAGAGGGAGAGATGGAGTGCTCTAGGACTCCTGGGCCCAGAAGACTTTCTGTGTTGTTACACTAGCTTTTTGAAGGAGGTTTGCATCAGACACATATTTTTTTTTTTTTTGCTGCTCAATTGTTTTTCAGTCATGTCTGAATCTCCATGACTCTATTTGGGGATTTCTTGGCAAAGACACTGGAGTGGTTTGCCATTTCCTTTTCTAGCTCATTTCTACAGATGAGGAAACTGAGGCAAGCAGGATTAATGGCTTGCCCAGAGTCACACAGTTAGTAAGAGTCTGAGGCTGGATTTAAACCCAGGAAGATGAGTTCCTCATTCCAGGCCCAGTGCTCTATTCACTGTGCCACCTAGCTGCCCTATGTATCACAAATAGTAAGTACCCAATAAACATTTTTTGAATGAATAGGAAGATAGGATTTAATTTGTTTAAGTTCACCTAATATTACTAAAATGAAAAGTAAACTTTTAGATGTAATAGATTCTCTAAAACATAGTACATTTCTCTTAAAGCCATAGAACTAGAATTTTAGGTTTTGAAGGAACCTTAGAAGTCATTTACTCTCCAATTCCTTCTCAATATTGTTGCCCCCTAGCTATGTAACCTTGGAGAATTTATATAACCTTTCTGGGCCCCAGTATCCTCATTTTTAAATGAGGGAGTTAGAAGAGATCATGTCCAAGGTCCTTTACAGCTTTAATATTCTATGGTTTATTAATTATGTAGAAATATCAACAAAGCAGCTAGGTCTGTCTGTAGGATTTTATGGATTGAGTTGCCAAGTCAAGGCATCACATTGACAAGTCTGACTGAAAGTCAATATGGGTATAGAGCTTGGATCAGCTCGACTGTGGTGCATGTTGTATGCTTAATTTTGATTGCCAATTTTGGTTCCAAGTCTTGGCTTCTAGGAAGTCACTAGGTGGGTGGTTAGATTTGGTGTGGGCCTATGGATTCATCTATATAAAGAATTTATAGAAACTCCCTCCATCTGTGCATATTTGCAACTCATTTGTAACTCAGAGTCTTGGAAAGTTTGCAGGGACACTGAAAGTGTAAGTGATTTGACTATAGCCACACAGCCAGCATATGATAAAGGCAAGATTTGAACCCAGGTCTTCCTGACCCCCAGGAGAGCTATCCACTGTCATTTCATGAGGTATGATTTAATTAAAAACCAGGCATGGAAAATATGTCTCTGGATTTCCTTTATGAAGTAATGAAATGAGCCCCTCATTTGGTGACTTATGTTGATTTTGGTAACATGACTGTCAGAGAACATTAGCTTGCTTGTCAGAAAGTAGAATGTGTAGATGGCCCTAATTTATTTTATGCTCTCATCTATTAATTTATGTTGTCATTAATCCTCAGAATATAACTACGTAATTCATGAAGAAAGAATAAAAATAAAATCACTGAGCCAGAGGCTGCCTTCCTACCCTAATTAGAACTTGCTCCAGTATTCTTTTTGTAGTTCCTTTACATATGTAAAAAGTATGGAATCTGACCCATGAACATCATCTATGGAAAGTGCTTTATGACAGCTTTGATGGAAGGATAACTCTGGTATTGCTTTTTCTTGGGAGAGGAAAGCTTGTAAACTTTGGAACTGATGCTCTCTATCCTGACAGGAAAAAAGCCCAAATGCAAAGCAATCACATTCAGTAGTCAAGACTTCAAGTAAGCTCAAGATTTACTTGGTGCCTGTCACAGGGATAAGGTGTCATGTTAACACCTTAGTAGCCATGTCAGTTGTAAAGAGGAGGGAGCAAGGTCAAAACCCTGGGATACCTACTTTCTTTATTTTTGGTGCCACCGCACTCTCTGAAACAGCAG